GCAGGTCATTTACTCCTCCCACGTGACACCTAGCATGTGCCAACTAGAAATAGGATGAAATCATGGTGCAGAAATCACGGCTTCTCGGAGCTGCAAGCTCCTCATACATTTCATTCACGGCGGTATGTTCCCACCTACGCTCTGAAGGAGGCGCTAGACGGAGAGCTGTTCAATGGACGATGGGTCTGAACAAATAAGCATCAGATATTAGCAGCAGATTCATTATCGGTACTAATTCAGCACTCTGAATGCGCTACGTGAATAAATGTGTGCTCCGGCAGAGGGAAGCAGCCTGGGAGTCAAGACCTTGGGCTCCCAGCCAGGCATGTTAGCTAATTAGGTCTGCAGCCAAATCCTGAGGCCTCGGTTTGTTCATGTGTAAATGAGCTGGGTTGGCCAAGAGAATCCTTAAGGTCCTTTGAGCCCCTTTCTAAGGATCCGTGGACATCGTTAAAGTGTTTAAGAGAAGAACAGGAAGCTTGTGTTCTCTTTCACACCCTATTGATCTGCTGCTGTTCAAACACCCCTCTTTTTTCCATTGATGATATAGAAAACATTTTAGGCCTTTCCAAATTCTGAATTAAGAGGTTTGTCTGCATTTTGAGAATTTTCTCATCAATGTATCATGCCCAAGATTACCTAAAGCAGCCATATGTTTTCCTACCAGGTGCCAGGTGGCCCTAAAAGAGCTTAGAGCCACGGCTCAGCTTGAGATCACGTCGCACAGTGCTCAAGGACACTGGGGCAGAGACCACGCCTCACTCAGCCCAAGTCTCGAGGCCAAGGGCAGGAGGATACAGAGGGAGATCTCCTGAGACGGGAGTCAGCCTACAAGGAAGTCCATCTAGCCCTGCCCTGTGACCAGGGCAGGCCTCTCCCTCAGCCTCAATGTCCCCATCTGAAAACTGGGTTGGGTTGGATCTCCTTCCAGCCTCTAAGATTGGGTTTTGTACATCAGGGCTGACACAAACTGTGCAACAGCAGAAAATGTCAGATGATGACAAGGGCCCTGCCTGGGGTCCCAGAAGAGGCTGGGGTCCCAGGTGGGCCAGCCTGGTGGTCAGCTTCAGGCTGAGCCCTGCCCCTTGTTCTCTGGACCACTTCTCTCCTGAGGTACCATCTCCTCTTCCCATTCCTCTGACTCAATCCTGAACTCTCTGGGCTGATGTTATCACTCCGAAGGACGGTCCCCTTCTTTCGACAGGGCCTGGCCTCACTCCTGTGGTCCCCTGCATGCCCTAGATCTTACCGGTGAAAGAGCCTGTATCCTTACACTGGTCACTCCAGAGAGGCCTGGTTGGGGATGTTTGAGAACTTGACCTGGAAATGAGGGCCTTGGTGGGTATGCCTCCCGACCCTCACCTTGCTGCCTGGGTTATGCCTAGGGTTGCCTCACCCCTGGGCTACTGGATTTGGTCAATCAGACCTCAGACAGGGGTCTCCCCAGAACTGCCCTGCTTGAAGGAACATGCTCCCTTGAGGCCTCAAACCCCCATGGTTTACCTGTCTGCAGTCTCCAGGCTGGCCCTGCTCTAGCCCAGGACAGGATGGGGCAGGTACATCTCAGCTCTGAGTTCTGTTTTCTATGGCCCCCAAGTAAGTGGGACAAAGCCACTCTTCTCTGTTTGCAAAGAATATCTGCTCCCAGGGGGGCTTCCCTGGCAGTCCAGTGGTTAAGACTCCGCACTTCCAGTGCAGGGGGCGTGGGTTCGATCCCTGCTCGGGGAACTAAGATCCCATATGCCGTGCAGCACGGCCAGAAAAAAAAGCTGGAGCTCTGGAAAAAAAATCAGTAAAATTGATAACTCTTAAAAAGAAAAAAAAAAAGAAACTAGCAGTAAATTATTAAAAAAAGAAAAAAGAATATCTGCTCCTGTGTGTGTGTGTGGTGTGGGGGAGTGGAGGGTCTGTGTGTCTGTATCTGCAGAGGCAGACAGAGCTCACTAACTTCGCTTTCTTTCAAAGTAGCAGAGAGGAGGGGAAAAAAAGTACAAAACTAGAAATCCATAATGGGAGCCTCTAGAGATTTCACCTTTCCAGGGTAAGGAAAGCCCAGGAAACAAGACGCTTATTAGAAGGAAATGGGTCTTGCAGTCTGAGACACGTGATGTGTGCCTCATTTTATTTTTAATAGCAGAACAGGGTGTGAGAAATACGCCCATAGAACAGCAGAGACATGGGAGCAGGCCGGATCCCTCTGCCTCTGGCTACAGGCAGCCTGGGCACAGCATGAAGGGGCTCTGGCCACTTTCCACATCCTCAGGAAGTGGAGACCACAGATCAAGTTTTTGGGAACAACTCAGTAATGTGGTGTGCTTTCCACTGGAATGTATACCCTCTTTAGGTGAAAGTCCCTTGTGCTTCGGAGTTATATAAGCACGCTGTGCTTTCGGTCTTTGATTCAATCTCAGCCTCACGAAGCATGTGCACACCAGGCACCAGCACATCCAGTTCTGCCCTCTCCAAGGTGACTTCGTGGACCACAGAGGGGCATCCATGATGCTCATGGAGCCTGTCCAACTGTCATTGTGCGGAATATGAAAGGAAACACGGTAAGACACATCTTCTGAAAAAAGGAATCCACTCTCTGCCTGTGGAATCTCCCAGAAGCAAAGTCTACATTCCCACAGGGACCTGGGCCTCTCCTCCCTGGAGTGAGGTTGATGTCCTGGAGCAAAGCAAGGCCTGGGATAGAAATGATCCTGTTTTAGAGAACAAGAGATGTACTGCTCAT